TGTTGCTGTTGTTTAAAAAAATGCAAAAAATAATAAATTTGAATAAATTGGTCAGACTAGAAGCAATGGCCTGGATTATTAGATATTTGAAGTGGGAACATATATCAATTTCGAAAGCTATTTTAAATGTGAAAGCACCTCAAAGCCAAATGTCAGTCATTTGTCGATGACGTGGAACTCATTGGAAAATTCGTAATGCTGTGGTCCATTGAGTACTGAAGACTTGAAAAAGGACTTTTTGTCCACCCAGTCTATGATCTGTGATAAATAACTTACTTTTCATGGGTGAGGCAGTAATGTAGCTTATGCGGGACTGAGAACGGTCCTAGATCCCTATGAGGTCTTTTTGGAAGTTGTTGTGCTTATGGTGGCGATAAGGAAGTTAGTGAAAACCACTGCCACTCCTTTCACTTAGCTTTGCCACAGTAAGGACCCCTTTCCAGCCCATACATTTTGCCTCAGTTTGCCTGCGATTTAGAAAAAGAAAGTCGTCACTTGAAGGGAAAGGGGATGAAGGCTCTTACTTGTGCGGGCCTGTTGAGCGAAGCGAATGGGGCTTCGCCCGACCACTTGAATACCACCTCTTGTTGGCGATTCCTCCCGGGGTTGCAATGGAGTAATATTTCTGTGAATATGGGATCGGGCATTTTCTGGAAAGTAGTCATTCTCTTTTTTGTCGTGATCGATGTGCACACGCGGCGCGAATGCTCGCGTCACATCGCGTCGCTCACTTCAGTGGTTACCTTCTTCATGCTGCTTTGCTCTTTGTCAGCCTTTTGTAAGCTCTTCCGAATGATTTCATTTCTGCTAGCTATTAAATCCAGCAACGCTCGATTTTGAGGCTACACCAGGCCGTTTTGTTGTTGTATGCAGGCTGACCAAGCTAGCCAAAGTGGCCAGGACTACATACCAGTTATTCACCTGTCCACCAATAGTGGTGGTAAGGACGCAGATGGAAACAGAGCCACGATTCTGTTCTGTATTTTCAATGTTAACCATCTGGTCAGATCTAGCACTGGCGCTGTTCAGCTTAGGGGAGGGGAGGGGGGAGGCATAATGCGCTTTCGCATTCTTCGGACAGGTGAATAACTGGTATGGCCACTTTGGCTAGCTTGGTCAGTCTGTTTCTTTCGATAGTTCCTGTTAAATTACACGTATCAGCCTTTTAAGACCTGTAAACTCCTGCCAAATGTGAACGAAGCCCATGCTATCGCATAGCTTTCGGCGACTTTACGGTTTTCCAACGGGGCTGTTACAGGTAGTGATGGTTAGAGCTGGCAATAGTGGCCCACCAGTCAACTTGCGAGTGTGTTGATGTTCTACCTAGATTAAAGCGCCTTCTTCCTTAGTCGCGATAATGTGAAGGATAGGGTGCATTTTGTGAGGAGACTGGACGATTAGTCTGCTTATTCACACTGCCACGGAGTGACGGGCCTGTTGTATGCCCTTAGTGCCAAAATTGCGCCTTTGACATTCACATCACTTCTACTATGAATAACTGTTCGGAATACAATTCTCTAAATAGATCACTAAACGTGGAATATACATCACACGTTGCGCTATCTTTACAATTGAGATTGCTACATTATAGGATGAATAACAGTCATATTAAAGCAGATACATCTATTTGATAACGTCGGTCAATTCATCGGGCGCGTTGACAGGTAGGAGGCGGTGATAGCCTCGCCTCTGGCTGTCTTGCCCACCAATAAAGATCGGTTAGTGATAGATTAAGGAAGAAAATAACTAGTGGTGGGATCGCCGCCGGCAGGCTCATTGTGCCCCTCCCATGGCTCGACTGATTGCGATGGTATCAGCTGTACATGTACAAACCTAGAATTAGCTTCGAAAGGCTTTGAAGGTAGTGAGGCTTTTCTGGGAGAGGATCAGGCTATTACAGGGACAAACCGCACTCTTCTTTTTCGATCTTTGTAAGAATTGTATGCCATATATGAGTGCTATTAGTTCACCCATTACTCCGATTAGCCTGACCCTGTCCCAAGTCGTTCGCAATCGCACACTGAGAAAAATTCAAAAATGACGGCAACGCGAACAATGTACATCGTATTCATGGAAACGAGTTCGTCTAGTGAAGGTCTACGATTACGGTAGCGCGAACGAGCTTGGCTGTTGTGCAGGTTTGTCGACGGTTGCTGTCAGGCAGACATCGTTACTGGCGTAAGCAGCCACCGACGTTGGCAATGGTCGCATCCAGTCCATAGTGTAGTCGTCTTTGCTCCGTAACCATTCCTTATGTTTCTGCTCGAAGCCCAGGATGTCGTTTATTGAATAGGCGGCTGAAAATGAAATGAACAATTCATCTGGCAATTGTGAAAAAATTGCTGGAAATTTCTCAATGTAGATCCCTAAGGGCGGGGGGGGGGCATTTCCCTTTTTCGCTGCTTCACAAGTTCCGCTGTGGTTCCTTACAAGTCCCACTGTGGTTAAACCTGTGAACTTAAGTGAAGCTGGAGCAAGCTCGTCGAGCCACCATGGTAGAACCTGCCAAGCTCTTGTAAGCTCACGAAATGGCTTTCTAGATGGGTCGACGCGTCGATAGGAAGAAAGAAGTAGGAAAATGAATCCTTCCCCCCCCCCCTTCGCCGGACTGCCCCGTAGATACCTGCTTTACAAAGAAGCGGTAATCAGAGG